AAGTGATAAGTTTTATTCCAAATGTGGAACTTGGTAAGGTTTCAATAGGCTGAAAATTCTAATAAGGAACTCGCTTTTCCTATTGTGAATACTAATAAGATGTTTGGCTAACTCCTCAAAAGAAGTTCTTTTGGGCAGCATGAGTTCATTACTGCACCAAAAAACTCATTTCATGAAGATTTAAATTAGCCAAACATGCTATAAACAAAGAATATAACATAGTTGTGGGGAGAATAACTTTGTATACAATATGAAAAACCCATGTACTTGATGGAAACTATTAACAGCCTGCTTTGCATTTCTGCAAATAAGTAGACGCTAGCTTCCTCCCTGTTTTTTGCTTAACAAAAGCTGTCTTTTCCATTTCTGCAGTCGATTTTCTATTTTTCCAATCGTCACAATATCTTCTGCTCAAGTGTTCTATTCCTGACTATGGCTAATTAGTGATGTTTTTCTACGTATTGTTTTTTGACACCTTTACACTTCTTTCTTCTACTTGTTCCCTACGGATTCACCTCACACCTTCCTTCATCACCAACAGCATCACCGGTACCCAAATATTGAACATGCCATTGTTGAACATATGCCATTGTTGAACATGCTAATTTATTAAATTTATCTTTAGAAAAATTAACATTTGATGTGGGTTATTTTTTTTTCTTTGAAAACTGTGAAATAACATTATTAAAATTATTTGTAAATTTTGTATTACGAGTTTGTGGATCTTAATGCATAAACGTGGTTGAAGTTGTCACTGATTAAGGTAGAAAGACGCAAGGAGCATCTTACCTGTAGGCAGTTTTGATACACTGGATTTTATTATATTTCTAAATGCACATAGATTTTAGCATGTGTGTTTCAGATTGATATTTTGACCATATGTTGTATAGATATTGATTGGCATAATAATGTTGTCAAGGTATTCAATTGTTGAGTATGGTGCTAGAGCATTTTATTTCACAATACAATAGTAGAAAACATCTAATAAAATTATAAAATTGGCCAACTTGTACATGGTTTAGTTTTATAAAAAAGACATTAATTATTGCTCGGCAACGAGGACAAATTGTTTAATAGCAAAAAGCCCTGACAACACCTTAATCATAATTGCTCATCTTAATTT